ACGTCAATCAATTTCATGCCGTCAAACCCACGAAAGCAAAGCACACAATGCTTGTGGGACGGTCGCAGAGGGTGCAACCATGCGCACAATATGTCATTGTGGGAACACTTTCCACCGACGATGTTAATCGATCGTTTGTAAAAAGACATTTGTGGTTCAATTCACCGCTTGACGGCGCATTCTTAAATGCAGCCGGCCTGCATGTAACGTGGTGGTCAGAATACGGAGGCACGGCCAGAGATACCTACTTAAGACATTTACTGGTGCGTGGAGACAACCATGCGCAAACGATGTCATTGTGGGAAGACTGTCGCTGAGAAATAAAGATCACTTATTGGCCGGCCTAAGTTTTTATATTAAAATCACACGTTGACCGACACGGAGGCGACTGTTCGGTGTCGGTGATCTCTAGCTGAAATAGAGGAACACACTGTCTTAGAATCTGGAATCGGTGCAAGAAGCTCTCTTGTTAACATTTGAGATCACGGCCCTAAAAGTGGATGTCCATAACGTGACCTACAGCCAGACCTTCCGGCCGTACAGCGTTTCAATCGGGCCCTTGATCTTTGGTCCCGAGGGACTCTTCGGGACCCTCTTGCAGCCCCTCAAACAGGGCTCCTGGTGGCTCGGGATCCTTGCCGACACAGGACCACTGGTAGGCACTGTAGATCCTTGACAAACGCTGGGGCCCCAATCAGTGTAAATCGCTGGTCCCGGCTTTGTCGCTGCTTGGAAAGTGGGCCCTCAGCCCTTACTGACACGGAGCCGACTGTGTGGTACTAGTGGTGCCTGACTGAAAATGACCTGACCTGACCAGACCTGACCGACCTGGATCTTATCGACTCAGTGGGTTTCCGATCGGCGCAAAAGGCCCTCTGACTGGCATCCGTGGGCCCGTTCCTGCAGGCGGGGGACCCTGAACAAGACTCCGGCCAATCCCTCGTATCCTTAGGCCATTCAATCGGGCCCCTGATCGTCGGTACCGTTGGAGCCTTCAGGCTCTCTTCGGACCTCCTAGAGCACTGCCTCTGGCCGACTTGAGGTTCCATGCCAACACAAGGTCACCTGTTGGGCACTTTAGGCCCCTGACAGCCCTTGGGGTCCCAACCAATGCAACTTGCTGGTACCGGCTATGTCCCTGCTTGGAAATTGGGCCCTCAGGCCCATGTCAGCACGGAGCCGACTGGCGGCACTGGTGTGTCCGACCGACGTAAAGACCCTTGTCGACTCAGGGGCCCTGATCGGCGCAAAGGTCTCCCTCGCTGGTTTTAAAGTGTCCGGCACTGCGGGCTGGTGACCCTCAATACAATCACCGGTCGGTCCTTCGGGCTTCTCGGGCATTTAATCGTTAGTCCCGAGGGTTACTTTGGTCCTTTGAAACCTTTGAGGAGGGAACACGAATTCTGCTTCCCCCCCCCCCCCTCTGCCTGTGCCGCTGAACGAGCCAGATGTTTGGATTGAAGCAATCTGAGCTCGATCTTAATGTTTGATCACACCACGTGACTAATGGACTTTCGATTGCCAACCTCGGTCGTTAAAGTGTTCGGTTCTATCATTTTTGGCTCACACACCTGCTCCGCGCCGACTGTGCCAGGATGCGCCAAGAACCTGTGGCCATGGCCCGAGATGCGGGTTAAGTCAACAGGCGATTTGCCTACGCTGCACAATCCATTGCTCTACGTCATTGGGAGTCGCTGTCAGACACCAACGGGCACCGAATAGGAGGCTGAGGTTTTGGGCGCAGGACGCCATGAGATAATATCACGCTGCATGCACACAAAATGTAAATCCAGCGCCATCACAGCCGCCGTCACGCCTTCCACCGCCACTGATGTCACTGTCGCCACCGGAGGCGAGGCAGCCCCTGTCGCCGTTGTCTCGACAGCAGCCACCACTTTGCGAGACCATCTCGAGTGATCACAGGGGCCGGAGATACCAGCAGTTGCATAACCAAATGCACCGCTGAGAAGGCCAATCAGGTAGTCTCACTGCTTGCCGACTGCCCCCTCCCCCCCCCCTCCTGATCGGCAGCACAGGCCTGTGTTGGGGTCAGGAGCACAGCCAGTCTCTGTAGGGAAAAGCTTACGATTGACTAAGGTCTCTTGCTGTTGAAACGCCTTCGAAAACAAAGAAAAACCGCTGGGTAAGTCCCACTTTATCAGGAATAAACCGCCGGCTTTAAACATTTCGTAATAATTAAGTAGAACTTTTTTATAATCTGACGTCACTCAGGGGCTTTACCGAAATTTCACTGGGCTGCACATAAAAATATTGCGGAGCCCATGAGCGTAAATCGTCGAGCAAAATGGGGGCCATACATTTCTGTTGATATGACAAATCATGTCCGTCTTGAATTTTTGACTCTCGCTGCAAATTCAGTTGTGAAAAAATGGGCGATATAACGTAGTTTGACTATGCGCGTTCGCATGGAACTCCGCCCCCGGCGTCACAGTCTCCATAGGCCCGGCGGAGTTTACGTCACGGCTAGCATTACGCAGCGCCCAACGGATTGACGAAAATAATGGCGTTTCTGAAAGAAGTGACTTTTACGCTTTAGGACATTAATTCGTGCATTTGACGGTCTGGGCGTATGTTTTACCTAGGCGGTTGCAAGACTGATAACAGGAACGGATAAACAATAACAGAAACGCAATACGGTGTCGGAATCTGGTTGAAGAATTGTAGAAGTGAAGGTGGAATCCCTATTTTGTGTTGTACGTCTCGAGAGGCCTTACGGGCGCCTGTTTAGGTCCCCTCGAACATTGCCCTGGTCAGCTCGGGACTCCTTGCCAGCACAGGGCTCCCGTTAGGCACTGTCAAGCCCTGATCACCCCAGTGGTACCTTATTGGCTCAGAAGCCTCGACCAATGAAAATAGCTGGCCATGTCCTTGTCCCTGCTTGCGAAATGGGCCCTTAGACCCAGGCCGATACGGAGCCGACTGTTTGGTAATGGTGGTGCCTGACCGACGTAGAGGCCCTCGTCGATCCAGGGAGGCCCGATCAGCGCAAAGGGCCCTCTGAGCAACATTTTAGGATCCGGCCCTGCGGGCGGGGGCCCGTGGACCGCAGCGTGACCGGCGTTAAGACCTTGTGGCTTTTGCCGCTTAATACGACCTCCGGGCAGCCATTTGGGCCCTCGAATCAGGCGTTCGATCGTCGGTCTCGAGGGACTTGAAGATCCCACAGGACCTAAGGAGGAATGTACTCCTTGTGCCTCCCCCTCCCCCCCATTCTGCTCACGCCACTGGTTGAGGTCCTGCACAAGGACATGCTGTCCGGTACGAGGGCCTTGAGCGAGCCAGTGCTGGCGTCGTAGCGCTGGAATGTGACCGGACCGGCACGCTGCTGCCGTCGCATGCATTCGCTGTCAGCTGCCATACGCCAGTAAACTCCAGGCGGCGTACCAGCTGGGCCGACCCAGACTGGTCTGGGGTGGCCGAGCGGACACGCAAATGACGCGCAGCTCCGGGAGACTACGCGCCCGAGTCAGACAGGCTGGTCCATCCCCCGACCAGGTTAGATAGGGTCACTGGGTCGGCTGCGCAGGCCACGGGCCGCCGGCGCCCGGACCCAGCGCGGGCGCGGCCATGCCGCAGGCGCTGATCTCTCAGCAGCACGAACGGTAGCGGTATGGCAACACAGGACTTTTCATAACGGCATGACAGGTTCTGTGATCGAGTGGTCAGGTCTTAGGGGACCTGGGTGCTGTAATCTCCTTTCCCAGCAGCGACGGATTCAGGAAGCACATAGAAGCAAATCCGAGTGACGCATTCTCATCCAGCAGCGGCAGAACCGAGATCTTCACCCACTTCCTCCAGCAGCTGCAGACCCAGGCACCGCAATTTTCTTACCCGCAGCGGCAGACGCGGGCTCTGCACTCTCCTCTCTAACAAACGGTAGACGTGAACGCTTCATTCCGGAAGCGGCGAACTTGGGTGTGGTCTGCCCCCCCCCCCCCCCTCACCAGGAAGGGCAGACCAGGACACTGCATCTCAGCTGGATCAGAAGTTCATCCGCTGTCTACAAAATAGTTTTAATATTGGCAGTAATACAGTCAGGATTCGTAGGCTTCTAACATTTAAAGAACACGGTAGTCGCGGCCAACCCGGCCAAAGCGGTCAACCCAGCGGCGTAGCCTTCCAGCCCATCCACGTTGGGGAAGAAAGTAGGCCAAATCTAGTGGAAAACCTGCTTGTTGGCATATTTTGGGGCTAGAATGGGTAATTCTTCACTGCTCAGTCCCCCCCCTCAGCTCATTTTGTGAAACTACATCCCCGGGTCAATCCCTCGCTTGACAATGGTTGCAAATGGGCGCTGAGTTATATTGAAGTTACAATGCCCCGCGACAGCTTTCCAATGACGTCAAGGTGAGGCCACTACTAGCAAATGCAAAAACTACACTTCCCTGTGGCCCCCAATACTGACGGGAACCGCCAGCTGTGGGGGCGTGTGGTTTGTACCTCTTGTTCAGGTGATTGGGAGGGTAGAGACGGAATAAGGACAATTTTAAGTGTGGTCGAGATGAATCTGCAGTGAACCGCAGTTTGTGGTTAAACGAGCAATTTTTCTCTTGGGTGTCTTGGTTCAACCCGATCTGCAAGCCATAACTGGATGTGAAAATGTTTGGGGAGCCTGAACCTTGGCCTTTTCTCAGCATATTCTGACCATTTGAATCCTAGGGTAGCATGAGGTACTCTAAGATAGTGTAAGAGTCTCCTATGTGGCAATTTTAACCCCAAAATGTGGAAATCCGCCCCAATATGTATTTTGATGACCTTCATTTGTAGGGTCATTTAAATTTGCCATGGTTTTGGCAGGCTGAGGCTTAGCCATGCATTTGTTGTTTTTGTGTTCTATTTAATGACGTGTTTCAAGATGTAGCTGTGTGCCCAATGAGTTGACTTTATGCCTTTAATGGAAACAAAATATTTGAACTTTATTACTTCTTGATGGCATGGCATGCAGGTACCTGTTCAAGATGATCTGATCTAGATACCCTGCTGTAGTTTCTTAAGCTTTTGAATGATTTACCAAATGAATTTGAAGAAATAAATCACATTCTGAGCCCTGTGTTTTTTAAATCTAGAAGATAATAGGTAAGCATTATTTTGTGTGTGGCAGGTACATCATTACTATTCAAATGATAATACCTTTGGATGCAAAAGTGTTGTATTCAGGATGGATGTGGGCAAACTGAAAAGAAGAGGAAATTTAGTGCTGCAAAAGTAAAGTGTTCTTAGATCTTGCATGCATTTCTCAACACAGGTATTGCTTAAGATATGTTTAATGAACAAAAACACATTGTACATTTGGCTCCAAATTCTCATGCCTGTTTGTGATTGTCATTGATGCACATAAATGAACTGAACCGATGCATCTAGAACTGTAGAGTAAGTCCAAATAATTTGTTTTGGCTCTTGCAGAGGAGAATCAGTATTTCCAAGTTTCCACAGTCTAAGCCAGAATTGGTAATAAATTGGAGATAGCTGCATAGTGATGTTTTGGCAAAATGTTATCAGTAGGATATCTCAGAACATTTTACTGATTGAGGTAAATGAACAGAACAGCAGGCCATGCCATCAGCATTGAATGCCTAGAGCATGCAAACCAATGATTGAGTCCAAGTTACTGAGGTGATAGGGTTGTTGACATCTTCATGACATTACATTTTTTTTTTCAGTTTTTGTATAGCTGCCAGCCATGGGTAACATAATGGGCAAAGCAATGGAGGAGAACTTCAATAAACACAAGAAGTTCATGATAGAGATGCAAGGTGTTCAGGTAAGCATTTGTAGGTTGAAATGGATGTTAGAGCAATGGCTTGACAGACATAATGTGATATAGAGAAGGGAATGTGTTGAAAATTACTGCAAACCTTTGTATACCATTTACCTTGGTGTGCCATTGTTCTCCAAGGGAGCTCCAAGTTTTCATTATGTCCATACTGGAATTGTTATCAGTGCACTCTTCGCGACAATTTGTGTTGCCAACAATGCTGATGTAGTATAACAAATGCTGATAGACTATAAACCATTAATCCAAACTTTGATCCTTTTACCATGGTAGCTGGAGCGGCAGATCCACATGCAGGATCAGATGCGGCGGAGGATGCAGGCAATGGAACTGGCCCGGGCACGAGAGATGTTCTACTGGTGGGCGACATTCTACGTGGTCGGCTTTGTCGGAGCTGTGGCAGCGTAAGAACTGCAGTCACCTATCCTTAGCCCTTGTAACGTGGTGGAACAGGCTTGTGGTACATAGCACTGTACAGTCGTGATCATATTCACAAGATTGCACCTGCTATCACTGACTTACGGTCGCCCCCGGCCATTTGAATGTTTCGTGTCATTCCCATCATAGCCTGAATGTTGCGTCGCGCGTTTTCCGTGTTGGTACACTTCTGCGCCGTCAGCAGGCGGTTATGCTGCTTGCGTGCAGCATGACCGCTCGGCGCTGCCGTCCTGGGTGCTGCACGCGCTCAGCGCTGCTGTCCTGCGTGATGCATGCGCTCAACGCTGCTGTCCTGTGTAGTGTACGCGCTCAGTACTGCTGTCCTGTGTGCTGCACGCGCTCAGTGCTGCCGTCCAGTGTGATGCGCGCTCGACTCCGCTGTCCTGTGTGATGCGCGCTTGACGCGAATGCCGTGCCCAGTGATGTCACAGCGGGAACGTGACGTCCGCGTGTGGTGCAGGGCCCGACGCACCAAGAACCGGACGGCGCTGTTCCCGTTCTTCCCGCTGGCGTTCATCGTGGGGTACCAGGCCGACTTGGCGTACGGTACCAAGCTGACCCGCATCAGAGGTGAGTCGCGGCGTCTGCTGGTGAGGTAGCTCGGGTCGCTGGTGCGGCCCTCTCGGCGAACCTCCCCGCTTGGGCGGGTCCTCCCCACCCCCGGCCAGTTTCTGCTGGTGCTGTGGCTCCAGTCGCCTGTGCTGCCCTCTCAGCGAACCTCCCCGCGTGGGCGGGTCCTCGCCTGGCTGCCGGCGTCTGCCCTGCCGCTCGGAAACTGTCGCCAGCAGCTCCGGCTCCAGCCAGCAGCTCGTGCGGAGGGTGGTGTAGCTCGATATCCGGCAGAGCTGCGGATGTAACGCGTGACTCAACACGACTAAAAGAGCCGCTTCGCCACATGGCACGCTGCCATACCACACTTCTGTGTTGCCGCATGGCGCCGGTATGGCTTGAGGTAGTCTTGCGAAAGTGAAAGATGGTTTTGAAGGCGTTTTCCAAGCACTTTGTCGTTGTCCTGTTGAAACGCATATATCTGAACCCCGGGAATAGACTGGAGCCATCTGGTATAGACTTCGCCGATTCCGCGGCTGTGATCTCATCTGTCCTCTTTTGCATTCACTTTTCTCCTCCATTGCGATCGATTTTGGCCTTGGCATCTTTAGGGTCTTACCGGCCGGACAGATTGACAAAACCGTCATTAACTTGGAAGATGTAGATATCAAAATAAATTTAACGTGCTTTGTTTGTGTGTGCATGAGATTCAAGGCCCAGAAGGTGATGTGCGCCCTCTTGTATATCACCCTATGAGTCTTAGATTTGACCCAAGCACAGAGCGTGTTGCTTTTCTGCTTTATATTTGTATACATGCGGAGCGAAGAAAATAGTGGTCAGTGTCTGTTAAGCTTGATTTGTAAGCTGTATGCTGTACCACCCTTGCAGCCTGCTGAAGGAGCCCTAAGTGCCACCTGTAGAAGCTGATTTCTGATTATTCTGATGGTTTACTGATGACCGTAGTTGATGACTCGCAGCGACGTACGCTTTCTGCTGCGTTTCACCACTCCCGCATCGATCGTCATCGGGGATTGCAGCCGGAAATGCCGAAGCAGCCATGTATGCATGCAAGCTTCGAAGGAGGTCTCATTGTCTTGGGGCTGTCGACTCTATTTCGAAGTGTGTAGCTTTTTGGAGTATGATGTATGCAGTATGTCGCAATAAGCTGAGATTCCACTACCACCTCTGTCTTGGGTTGATGTATCACTGAGTAACTGTAGCTGATTTAATTTCCTCTGCTATGTCTCCGTTCCTCCTCCATCGTGTACACCCGTCATGTTGCTGCCCGTGGCGTGCCTGCCCCTGATACAGCGCCTCCACGTGGCGTACTGCTGACCCTGATGCCCGGTCCGTCGCCTCTCGGCCCGCCGCGTCGGCAGCGCTGACGTCCCGCCCTCTCCGCAGCCGAGGCGGAGAGCATCCTGCAGTCGGAGCCCGAGCTGGTGGAGCCACCTTCCGGTGTGCCCACCGCTTCACTCATCGACGCCGCCCGCCAGAAGATCAAAGACGAGAAAAGGTACTCGCGCAAGACGCGCGACACCTACCTGTAACCCGGCGTTCGCTCCCGGCCTGTAGTCTGTGGCGTCCGCGGGGCGCGCTAGGGCGTCCTGCCGCCGCCTGGTGGCCGGCCGCCGAACCACTGCCTCCCTCGGCCGCCGCTCGGAGCGTGACCAGCCGGCCGAGGCTGGCGCGGGGTGGGCGGTCCGCCGGGCCTCGTGTGTCCAGGACCGTGCCTTGTGGTGTCGCGTGTCTGCCTGCGTCCGTCTGGGTCTGTGTCTCCGTCTGCATCTGCCGCCCCGCCCTTGTCCGTCCCCACAAGTCCTGCCCTGGCGACGCCGGTCCTGACCCGCGCCGTCAACACCGTTGCCACCGCTCGGGCTGCCGCGACGGCCGGGGCGCGAGGTCGCGGCGCGCTTCGGTAGCCTCTGTTGACGTATGGAAAGGTCGGGTTGGATAGGCGGCAGGTCTCACCGCGCCTCCACGCGTGCGTGCGTGCGTGCGAGCGAGCATGTTTTCGTGTCGCGTGCTTTGTACGGATGTGTTCGTCATTCGTGGTGGCTGCGACCGTTCAGCCGTGGAGTAGGTTAAGCCGGGTCTTAACTTGTGAGCTTACATCCCGTGTGAGCGTGCGTCGCCGATGGCTGTTCGGGAGGCCTGATCTGACTAACCCATCCAGCTGACTGACGCGGAGGCATAATATGAGGTACAGCCCAGCCGCATGTGTGCGGTTGGCGCGCTGTTGTGGCCTTGTATTGGCTCGGTCTAACGACTACTTATTTTTAATGCTCAGAGGTCGTTTGACTGCAAATTGTTGGCGTGTACGGTCGTCACGGCCGGGTTGTTCAAGGCAGGCTGGCTGCTTCCATCTGCAGCTGGATGTTGGGTCGCTTTTTAGAAGCCTTTTGTCGTTGGATTCGAATTTTTAAACCAATTCATGTTGGAGCATTGAGGTGGGATTGTCGAAGTAGCCTGCCTTACATCGCACGTCTGCACATGATGCCCTTCAGCCCATGCGGCGTGGATTATTCTGAAGTTTATTTAAGAACCTGTTACTCTGGTTGGATAGCTCAAACGCGTGTTGTTGCGGGACAAAGGGTTACGAGTGGGTCCTATATGCGTGTGGATATATTAGTAGTATCTTACAATAAGAGCATACCTGGTACTGAGTTCTGGCTCTGAACGGTAGAGGTAAAGCAATACAAACACTCACAAACTCGATGAGACCGTGCTGGCGTTGACGCGTCGTCGGGTAACGGTTGTGGTGCCGACCACGTGTAGAGGAGCGTAGCTCTGCCAGACTGAAATATATCGCCAGTCGAGGATACTGGGTTGTCTAGCCGCGCGTGTCGCTGCCCGTGTTCGTTGTCCAGGCGGAAGTTGTTTCGTTTCAATCCGGATGTCGCCTCGTGTTCTCGACAGCTAAAGGCGTCCCCTGTCCTGTCCTGTCCACCCTGTCCCCCTGTAACCCTCGGCCTGATAAGGTAGGGGGGGGGGGGGGGGGGCGGTGGATAGATGCAACCCCACCCTAAGGTTTTTTTAAGAATACCTCTCCGGCAATTTTTCAGTCGCGCCGAAATTTTCAGGAGCCTGTCCGACATTCGTTGCGCGTACTTCAAGACCACAAACGTGTTTCCAGCTTTACTGGTTTTCGGAGCAGCGGCGGTTTTAGACTGCACGTTGGTCCAGGGTCTTAGCGGGCGGGCTGGTGGCAACCGAAGATGCTGCGGAAAGCGCGCGGCGGCCAACATTGTTACATTAACGGAGCTATTATCATAAATGTGTATCCAAAACATGCAGGCCTGTTTAACATGCCCATGAACATGCCTGCTCAAGTTGCGTGTCGTCACAAGGTGTAGTCTCATAAGTATAGCATGAAGTGAGGAAAGCACGGCTTTCTGGAAAACTACGTTTAATGTGCAATGAGGTCAGTTATCAACTTGACAACAAAAAACGGGTACAGATGGCCGATCTTGTTAAAAAAACCATTCGAGTGATGTTGTTCCGCTAAGCTCCATCTCCATTACTTGGAAACGCTGGGAGGGGGGGGTACATAAACTATCCCGCTATCAGCCCGCGATAAGAAAAAGCAGCAAATCAGGGCGAGGGGTTAAGCTGCAAAAATCACTGCGCTGGAACCTGATGGAGACCGCTGTATTCCTTGTTCCTGTGTCGTGTTTGTGTCTCGTCTCCACCCACGAAGCCGGCCGTGTGGTTGCTGGCCGGTGAAGACCTGTGCTGCGCCACACTGACTGAGAAGCCCGTCCCGAAGCCAGTTGTCACCACGCGGCCCTCAGGTAGGCGAACTCTCTCCACCAGTTATTAGCTCGACTTTTTTGCTCGATGGCAGCAGTTTTGCACTTTTTGTCAACGAGAGGTTGCACCGGCAGCTTGGTGGAGTTCTGTGGTTTTGAATGGAGGTAGAATCCGCGAGATGCGTGTTGTGCATGCATTCTAACATCAGTGCACGCTTTCGGGACACTTTATAAGGAGTCATTTTTGTAGCAAGTTTCTTGCCTTAAGAATTGAGGATGGGGCCCGTTCATTGCAGGCTTTTCTAAGAATATCGGAAGCAGAAACCGCTCGGCGAATGCGCCCCTCCACCCGCCGATAGCTCTGCCGCGCCTGGCGAGAGGAAACATTCATCAGGAGGCCTCGCGACCTGGCACGTGTTTATTCATTGGTTTTACACTAAGGCGAATCAACTCTTGAACCGAGGCGGGCGTACTCGCTCTATTTGCTCCCATGCATAGGCTCTGGTCATGGCCGCCGGGGGTGCGCTGCAACCCGTGCCGCCCCTCCCGAGAACGCGCGGACTCTTGCTCCAGTGGCATGCCATGCTTACCTGCATGTTGTCTGTGTGCCTCCGTGGCGCGCCGCGTCCCAGACGTTGACCGTCTTCTCTGCATGCGGGCCTGGTGGGATGTGGCTGCATGCCCATTGTGCCCGAGCCGTGACGACGCTCGCGCTAGACGCGCTTGCGTGGTTGGCTTGGTGTCCCTCTGTGACCCGCTCCCTCCGCTCACCCTGCCGGCCTGCGCTGGTGGCGTGTGTGAACTATCCCTGCCAGCCGGGCTCAGGTTTGCATGGAGCGTACCTGGGCTGACGGCCGGTCCACCTCCCATCGAGCTGGGGTAGTCAGATCCTGACAGAGGACGCTGGAGGCATCATGGCAGGTCAGCATAGCAGGGCGGGGGTAATGTGAACCCTGATACCACTGTACGGCACGTTTCTGACATTACGCTGAGGAGATGGTAAAGCCCTCCAACGACCCTGCTTCTCGTGGACAAGGGATTATATATATATATATAGATATATATATATATATAAATGGCGCTAAAATATATATATATATATATATATATATATATATATATATATATATATATATATATATATATATATATATATATATATAAATGGCGCTGGCTAGCCATGTACGGAAATCTCACTCGAAATGAACCTTAAGCAAGGCAATATATATATATATAATATATATATATATTATATATATATATATATATATATATATATATATTTGCCTTGCTTAAGGTTCATTTCGAGTGAGATTTCCGTGCATGGCTCGCCAGCGCCATTTCAGCGCGCGCCGCTCGCGTGCTGCCACCTGGTGGTTAGCGCAGCAGCGACGCGTTGCGTTGCGTCCGCCTCAGTATGTCGGCCGTCATCTGCCGCCCGGTGATCGTGCTGTTACAGGGTCCGGTCCCGCAGCTGAGCATTTGGAGCGGACCGCCGCCCAGAGCCGGCGACCGGCCGCCCCAGCGCGGCGTCGGCTGACGTCACGGGTCGCTGCGGCCGGCATCGCGTCACCGCCCCCGCCGTCGCCGCCGCCGCCGCTGCCGCTGCTGCCGTGTCAGACGGGACTGGAGGCGTGCGTTCTAGCCGCGCATGCTTGTGTGCGTGTGTGTGATGTAGGTGAGCGGGGGATAGAGCGTGCACTGTACCGCGGTCGGTAAGGCAGATGAAACCTGTAGGGGAGTGACCGAAAGCAATTCGCACAAAGATGTTTGCAGCTGTGTACAATACAGCAGTGAACTACTGCTGCCAATGAGCTTGAACACTTGGTCCTTGAGAACGCACAACCCGACGAACTTCCTGTAGTAATCAAATCTACGGCCGTCAACATTGTTGTATAAGGTTCTGAAACGCCACATAGCTATCCTTGGGAAGGTGCTGCCGACACTCCTGTGGCGCTGGTGAGGTCTGGCCACAGGCACAGTTTTGTTTCATCCGTATCTGTTTCTCTGAACTTGCGCCGTTTACGCGGGCAGAACACCGACGGCTACTTCAGTTCGGTGAGCACGACGCCTGATGTCCGCTGTGGGCGGCGGACTGCGGGGCCGCTGTGCAGGCCAGCGGCCGACGCGAGGGCGTGCCAACACGGAGGGGGAGGGGTCGCTCTGGCCGTCCCGCGGCGAACTGTCGGCAGTGTCGGCGGCGACCCCGCCTCCAGCTGACACTGTGCCAGGCCCGCAGGCATCCACTGATGGCATCTGTTTGACCCATTCTTCCAGCCACCACTCAGGTCCGAGCTACATCCAGCCGCTGACAAATACTCGTCATGCACCTGCTCGCCGATTCCCACGGGTTAGCTGGTACCGGGCACCATATCAGCTTTCGTGTGCGCAGTGCGGAGACACCATCAGCTGAGGCGTTCCAACAGAGTCGGACCGCTCTCCCGGACGCCCGGGGAACTAAACCGTTTGACAGCGGATGGTAGCGCCACCTATGTTCAAGTACATCATTCTGCCACCAGGTGTACGCGGCGCGCTTGATTGCTTGCACACCATCGTTGGTGTCGCTGTACCGGACTGTACTGGACACAACGCTCTGCTTAACGGGCAGCAGCGCCTCCCAAGATTCGAAAAACGGAGGAATGTTTCGGCTGCAGCTTTCAACATAAATGCCATTCATGTGCAGAAGTGGCGTGCTTGCACCGTATCATGGCATGCATGCTATTGCCTGCCTCTTGCAATAACCCCACAGTAGTACTGCGCTATCCGCCGTATCACTTCGGTTCTGGACGGAAGTGGCCTAAACCCTCAGTGGCCGTGCTCAGAACGGAAATCGACAGATAAAACGCCAGACGACGGCAAACAAACGTCAGACGACGAAAATGCATCGCAGCTTCTTGGGTCGCCTCATCGTGCGAGACGACGGTGGCGAACCACCGCTCGAGTGGG